AACTTCATTCTTAATATTTATATTTATAAGCCGGGCGGTGGTGGCGCACGCCTTTAATCCCAGGTGGAGGCAGAGGCAGGCGGATCTCTGTGAGTTCGAGACCAGCCTGGTCTACAAGAGCTAGTTCCAGGACAGGCTCCAAAACCACAGAGAAACCCTGACTCGAAAAACCAAAAAAAAAAAAATTATATTTATATTCCTATAGATGTATTCTCTCTCATGTATTTCTCTCATGTTTAAAAATGAATTTCACTTAATAAGGTAGTGATTAATGCAGAGACACAACTGTTGGAAATGAATGAATAATTGACTGAGAGTTCTTCGATGGACACATTTCATGTGTATCATTGTCTATGCTCTGTGACTTATAGAAAATAGTGGAAGAGGGGATAAAATCATATTAGAGCCATATGACAGAGAGGAGTGCTGAGAAATGCAAACTTCCCTATGAATTATTGGAAATCTATGGCTTCTGAGTGAGGGAAAGTTTCTTTACTTTGTGAGGATGGCCACTGGTAGGTTTGTAGAGCTCCAGTAAATATCCATAAACATATGTGATTATGAACAGCACTATGGACTCAATTGTTTAATGACAATAAATATAATAAAAGTTTAAAATGTGTAATATTGGGATGTTAAGGAGGAGGAAAGGTTCCAGATAAAATGGGTGCTGTGCTTCCAGGGTCAATACGATGAATGTACGTTGTAGAAATATAGGTAAGTTTTCTATAGGAACTGTAAATATCTTAAAGAATGTATTATTAATAGAAGAATGGTTCTCAGATAGTACCTTAGACTCACCTCTTGTTAAAAAAAAATGTGTAAAAACAAAGATTAGTCAACCAATACAAAACCAGAATTTAAAAAATATCCTCTGATGCTGAAGATAGCCCACAAATGTAAATATGGGAACCACTGTTGCAAAATAATGAAAATTATATGACATAATTACTTCACTATTCCACTATTTTCAGCAAACTCAGGCATTCTTTTTGGAGGTATTTTGCTTATTTGCACCTAACTGAGAGACAGGGGTGGAGACCCCAATCAGAAGGCATTTTACTCTCTGCAGCAGAAGTTACCCAGAAAAACTCCCTTTAAATAAAATACTGCATTTCGTTTTTCCTACATTGTAGTGTTTTGCTCGTGTCTTAGCTAACTTTTTTTCTTTTGCTGTGATAAAACATCATGGCCAAAACAAGTTGTATAAGAAAGCATTTAATTTAGGGCTTAAGATTTAGAGTGTTAGAATCTATGACCTTGGTGTTGGAGAAGATGACAGCAGGCTGCTGACACTGAAAATGAATTTGCAATTGAAATGCATCCACAATGCAGAGACAGAAAAAGACAATGGGGATAGTGGAATGTTTTAAAACCTCAAATTCCACCTCCATTGAAACATTCCCTTTTACGAGGTTACATCTCCTAATCTTCAACAAACAGGTCTTCCAACTGGGGAAAAGAGTATTCAAATATATGAGCCTATAAGTGTCATTCTCATCCACACTACCATGGTTTCTTATTTGTTTCTGACAAAAGTAGATATTAATGTATATTAACAAAATGTAATAATCATAATAAATTCCTGTCAGCACCAACACTGATGCTTATACAGCTCTATTACATAACAGATCATAGCTCTTGTATTGTTATTCATATTACTTATTTTCTTATTCCATGAGGGTTATAAATTATGCATTTATTTTCTCTTAGTGTCACTAAGTGATTTACTCTTAGTTAACAAAGGTGAGGTGATGAATAAAGCTCACACAGATGTTTTCACAAGTGTGTCTCTGGTGTGTGCCCTTAGATTGAAGGATTCGTAGTCAGGAGTTCAGGAGTAGGATGTAAATATATAACTTTATTTCTTATGATCTTGATGTTTATACATTTAGGTATTCATTCAGATCAATATGTTTATCTCCTTTGTTGCTAGAAATTATCACATAATAAAGCTACTGGCTTTTGCATTATTTTCAAAGTAGATAATTTCCTGAAAAAATAAACATTGTATACAAACAATAGATTAAAAATAAGAACTGTACTCAGAACCTGAAGAGTTGTTTCTGCTATCTATAGCTGCAAAGTTTGATGCTCATATTTAATATCATTAACAACCAAATGCTTGTTCATAAGTCATTATTTACATTAAGTAATGTACAGTACATTTTGGCTCCCTCCAAAAAAAAGTAAATTACAGGACATTGCATGGGATTTGTATTAAGTAGAAATAAAAATGAAAGCTACTTTTTAGGCTTTATGTTGATTTATAGAAAAATATGGTGTAACCTCCCAATAGTAATACCCTAAACAAAAGTAGGATGAGAAAAAAACACAGAGACAGGAATGATATTAGAAAATATCATTTATAGATATATAAAATATATCTAAAAGTGATTTTAGAGGAAAAATGTAAATTATCAAGAGCTGATTTAGTAGAAAAATATTAAAAAGTGGATCCATAAACATAGCCTGGCTGGATCTTGACGAGAAATAGTTATGATGTTGTTGTTATGTATGGTTTTTAATAAAACTAGATAAATTATCAATGCATTTCCCTTTTTTCTATTTAAATGTTTAAATTTTTATTTCTCAGAATTCTACAAATTGTTACAATGAAATACAATCATATCTATCTCTATTTATCCCTCTAACATTCCTCACATTTTCTTCCACAAAATTCCCTCCAATTTAATGTACATATTTTTTGGAGAATGTACTGAATCCAGTTGGTGCCACATTCTCCAAAATGAAGGATTCTCCCTCCTCCAGCTACTACCCACTCCAAACAGATCTTATGGAAGAAGTTTGACCTCGAGATTGTGCACTTGATATGTGCAAGTAATTTGGCAGCCTTGATCTGGCACAGTTCTTGTGAAGGTAGCCACAGTCATAGGGTGTTCAGGAATTTCATAGGCATGCCATTTACAGAAGACACCATTTCACTATTCTCCTCATTCAGCCTTAGATACTCTTTCCTCCTTGTCTTCTGCCATGTTCACCAAGCCTTGATGGCATGGTTACTATACGTGTCCCATTTAGGAATGAGAACTCAATTTTTTATTCTCAGCACTTTTCCAGTTATGAATTTCTCCATCGACTACTGCCTGTATCAAAAGAAATTCTCTGACCATGGGTGAGAGCACCCCAGGTCTAAGGATAAAAGTACAAATATGTATAAGACAATCAGCATGGACATTTAAAAATAACAGCAACAGGTTTTAACCTAGGGTTTATGATGTTCACATCCATGAGATTTGGATCAGCATTACATCATCAGTCATTAATTTCTCTTATGTAGGAAAGTCTCAAATTCGTCTGAGAAGTGACATTATTTCTTAGGACTTTTCAAACTATTGTATCAGTTGGTATATCTTGCCTAGCACGCTGGTACTGCTCACACAAAATGTAGCACATAATAAGATGATTAATGCATTCCACTGCCCAGCAGCCTGCCCAAAACCTTCCAGCAGTATGGAATGAGAAGTGAGTGTGATTGAGGTTAATTTTATAGAACTCCAAAATAATCAATAAAATATTATGTTGGAAAAATATTATTACATATTTTTCTTCTTCCCTTTTTTTATTAAGAAAAGTTCTCGTTTATTCTTTCTGGCAATTATTTTTTAAAAACTGTCCAATTATGAATTTGAGTTTTTGTTTTTTTTTCTGTGTATTTAGTTTTGTGAGTTCTGTCACATTAAAAGTTAATTTTCATTGGGGAATGGAGAGATACTTTGTATTGATATTAACTTGAGGCATTTCTTTCTCATTGTTTATATTTAACTTGGCATCCAAAGATTTTACAAATATGTCAGTATTTCCAGGACCCCTGTTTATTTTCAATAGCTTTCAACATAAAGACGGTATTGTCTACTTCTCTATGCTACTTCTCTCTTTGTTAGCCTCATATTCACACCTGTCTTTCTATACATTTATATCATGAATAAAAGACAGCATTGGTACTAATATATAAAATACATTCAGTAAAAATATAATAAGAAATTATAAATATGCAATTATTTAAAAATCTACATGTAGATTCTTAGTGGAATTTTTAGTATTTTGCATAATAAAAGCTATTTCTAATACATTTTCTATGACCAGATGGACATAAGGCCATCACTCAGTCCAATGCAAAGATGTGTTATGTCAATTATTCAAGTGTTAAATATTCATGTAACAGAGCAAAGGGCTGAAATGGTATGTCTTTGGCATCATATTTAATTTGACATCTATGTTTTTCCCTAAATCCATAGCATTTCTAAAGAAAACCAGTTCCGGGGAGGAATATTTTTTTTTATAGAATCAAATGAAAATTACCTATATCTTGTTATAAATCTTCCAACATACTTGAAAAAAATGAAGTGTTATATTTTAATTCACTAATGCAACAACTGATAATCTTAAACTGAAACCAATTTCACTGTTCATTTTAAAGCTTTATGAATCTGAACTAACTGATATTTTAATGTAATAAATTTTATTAATAAAGATACATTATAATAGATATCCTTACTATAATGATAGATGATAGATAGATAGATAGATAGATAGATAGATAGATAGGTAGATGATGATAGATTCTCAGTACATATCTAGCAAGTTGATAGGAATCTAAGTAATAAGTTGAAATTCTCAGGTCACCAAAAAAATAATACTACCACATAGATGCAGTTTTATTTCAGTGGTATTCATACCAAGTCCAGTTTACCAACTGTAACTACTTTTGAGAAAAAAATATAATAACATCTGTAATTTTAGGTAGTCTTTCTGTGTATTGTGGGTAAAGTAACTGCCCTGAGAACTAAGGTAATATAGATAGAGCTTAATCCAGACCATACAACATAAACAAAATTGAGCGTGAGTTGAAGTATGCCAAGTCATTATCACACATTGAAGTCATTTTAGGTACTACAGAAAAGGGGAGAATTTTTGTTCACTAGAATTCTACTGAATTTGAATTTCTCTAAAATGCCACATGGATACCACAGGATACATCACACAAGATAAATGATTCTACCAGCAAGTTTCCCCAATGCTTTCTTCATTTCCCTGTTTCGTAGACTATAGATAAAGGGGTTCAGCAATGGAGGAACTACACTGTACATCATGGAAGCTATTGCAGTGTTTTCGAGAGAATCTGTCACTGCAGAACTGATGTACACACCAAATCCTGTCCCATAGAATAAGGAAACGACAGACAGATGTGATGCACAAGTGGAAAAGGCTCTGTGCTTTCCTGCAGATGTTGGCATTCTTAAGACTGAGGACACGATGTAAATATATGAAAAAATAATTCCACAGACAGGACCACCCCCAAAGAAAAATGCTGCAACAAATATCAGGAAATTATTAAGAAAGGTATCCGAACAGGCAAGCTTGATAATCTGCGCAAGCTCACAGAAAAAGTGGGGGATTTCTAGTTCTGTGCAAAATGAAAGCCGCAGGACCATCAGACTGTGGAGCAGGGCATCCATAATGCTAAGGAAAAGGGAGAATAGAACCATCAGGACACAGTGAAAAGAGTTCATGATGACTGTGTACCTTAGGGGTTTGCAAATGGCCACATAGCGGTCATAGGCCATCACTGCCAGTAGAAAATTTTCCATTCCACCAAAAATTGAAACAAAGCATATTTGAGAGAGACATTCTATGTAACTTATGCTGTTGTCCTGTACTTGAATGTTCACCAGCATTTTGGGGATTGTGACTGTACTATAACAAATGTCATTAATGGAAAGAATAGAGAGGAAAAGGTACATGGGAGTGTGCAGTTGGGAGTCAGAGCTGATGGCCATGATGATAAGCAGGTTTCCCAGAGCTGTGATCAGATACATGAAGAGGAACATGGTGAAGATGAGGGGCAGAAGTTTGTGATTGTCTGTCAGTCCAAGCAGATGGAATTCTGAAAGTGCTGTTTGGTTTTTTAGTTCCATTATTTTTGTGGGAATTTTGAAATGAATAAAGTAAAAAGAAAATTGAATTCAAGAGCATCTGTGACAGAATCACTTAAGTACTTGTTAGAATAGCCTTAGAATACCACTGGCTATAGTTATATTCTATTGATAGAAACCTATATTATCTCTTTTTACCTACCTCATATATAATAGTCTTAATGTTTAAAGTACTCCAAAGTCTTCTGTCCACAGTATAAAAAATCAGAAAAATAGTGTAATATATTAAGAGAAATATGTGTTGAGAAAGAAAATATTTTTTAATGAATAAAAATCATACCTCTGGTTGTTCAGAATATGGAACCTGGTAAATAAAATATTCATCAATGTTGGATTTATTTCATGGGATTACTTGACTGAGAAAAGACAAATCAAGAGGATCTCTTTTCATATTTACTCTTTCTCACTTACTTTCTTACTCATGTTACCTCAGGATAAAATTTTCATAAGATACTTATCTTAATTTCAGAAGCTAACCTGTATATTGGAAATTTAGTATTTGTCCTCAGTAACTTCACTAAAAGGTCCAAGTGCTTCTCGTTCTGAGTGTGCAAGTATTATGCTTTAAACTTACACCTCACACTGAGTTACCCAATCACATATCTCAAGGGGATAAATAAAAATTGCCTCATTAGTCCAGTTATTTACTCCACTTTTATTCTAATCCCAAAGATGCCTACTATGGGTAAGCATGTAGTTTGCAAGTGACTTGTTCTCTTCCTCTGGAGAACAGATTGTGAAATCTCATTCTCTTTATTGCATCACTCTGATTTCAAAGATGTGGCATAAAAATAGATGTGGTAATTTTCTCCTCTACCACATAGTATTGCAACTGTAATATCTATCTTAAGCACATGGGGCTACAGTCATGGAATGAACTCTCTGAAGCTGAGATTAAAAACTAAAATCTCTATTCTTTCTGTGTTTTTCAGGTATCTACAGTGCTCAACTAAATTAATTAAATATATATTGAGCACCTTTTACACACACACACACACACATATCATCAATTTACATTTTGTCTTTTAAACTAGATAGAAAAATAGGGATATAATTGAAGAATAAATAGGTGATTATAAAATTTTAATACTTTATTTTTAAGATTAAGTTGTTTGGCTTACATATCTACTCAAGATAGTAAACCCTTCTACAAAATAAATTTGATAATAGAGTTTTTATCTATGTGCTTAATTTGACCTGATGCTTGATTCAACTTATTATAAAAACAATTAATTTTATCAAATCCAACTTGCAAATTTGAATGGGAGGCTGTCTTGCATTTAGGGAAGTAATATTAAAAATAATATTACTTGTCATCAGAGAGGCTTCTTCAAGCAGCTCATAGGAGTAGATGCAGAGACACACAGCTAAATATTAGGAGGAAAGAGAAATCTCTATTGTGTCTGTACTCTTGGAAAACACCCTGAAAGAAGGGAAGAAAGAATTTTAGGAGCCAAAGGGTTCAAGGACACTAGGAGTGTGTGACCCACATAACCAAAAAAGTGGGGCTCCTAGGGACTAACAAAGACTGAAGATGCAATCAGAGAACATGAGTTTGCTCAGGTCCTCTGATAATATATTATGGTTTTAGTTTGGATGTTTTTTTGGAGACTCATAGCAGAGGAAATGTGGGTGTCTTAGCATCTTTTATCCTGCTCATGATTCCCTTTTCCTCATACTGGGTTGCCTTGCCCAGTCCTGAGAAGAGGGTATATGGCTAGAATCCATATATGTTATTGTGCCTTGCTTTGTTGATATTACTGGGAAGCCAGCTTTTTCTAAGGGACACCAGAGGAGAAGCAGATCTTCTCAAATGGCAAGATGGGGAGTGGGAACTGGAAGGAGAGAAGGAGAAATGACAGTCAGGATATTGAATAAAAGAATAAAGAAAGAAAAAATATTCCCATAAATGATATTATTCAGGGCAATTTCATCAATGTTTTTCCTACATTTTTGGTAATTTAATAGTATTCCACTTTTACACATGAACTCTTAAATGTTTAGTGTGTCTTTATTTCATAATTGTAGCTAGTGATATACTCATATCTTGTAAACGCTTCTACATAAAGCTCTTTTATTTGAGACATATGGATTAATAACTGATTACAGCCTAGGTCCATTATTAATGACCAAAAACATTTTACAGGATCTGAAATTATTCCAAAGTACAATATTATAACACTTGAATGAGGAATTCTGATATTCAATGTATCATTTTACTTATACAGTTTTAAATTTAATATATTAGAACACTTTTAAACCTCTGATGAAATCTTGTATTTACAAAAGAAAGTTCAGCATGGTAGGTGGGAAAAAGGAAAAGAAGGATTCCAGGAGCTAAAACTTAAAACCTTTAAAAACAAAAGTAGGTTTAACTATCAAGCTCATACATGTCTGTAACTCCAGTTCTCCATTCACAGCCCCTGATTGATGAGATGATAGTTATGTATCACATGCATGGTAGTGTTTTTTAAAAATAATATGAAATTTTTATGTTTGAACTCACATCAAAATATAAGCACCCATACATTATAGTTATGCTATATTGATTTTATATGTCCCATATGTAAAAATAAAATCAATATAGTATAAGTATAATGTATGGGAAAACCAAATACTATTCATTCAGTTCATTTAAACTTGCAGTGCTTGCTACTCCCATTTCTGAAATTGTCTCTCAATAACTCTATTACTCATTATTTTAATTCTTTTTTGTTTTTTACTTTATTTTTTATTGAAAATTTCCACCTCCTCCCCTCCTCCTACTTCCCTCCCCCTCCCCCTCCCTCTCCTGTTCAAGGAGCAATCAGGGTTCCCTACCCTATGGGAAGTCCAAGGTCCTCCCCGCTCCCCCCAGGTCCAGGAAGGTGAGCATCCAAACAGACTAGGCTCCCACAAAGCCCGTCCATGCAATAGAATCAAAACCCAGTGCCATTGTCCTTGACTTCTCAGTCAGTCTCCACCGTCAGCCACATTCAGAGAGTCCGGTGTGATCACATGCTCCATCAGTTCCAGTCCAACTGGCCTTGGTGAGCTCCCATTAGATCAGTCCCACCATCTCAGTGGGTGGAAACACCCCTCGCAGTCCTGACTTCCTTGCTCATGTTCTCCTTCCTTCTGTTCTTCCTTTGGATCTTGGGGGCTCAGTCCAGTGCTTCAATGTGGGTCTCTGTCTCTATCTCCATCCATGGCCAGATGAAGGTTCTATGGTGATATGCAAGATATTCATCAGTGTGGCTATAGGATAAGGCCAGTTCAGGCTCCCTCTCCTCTGCTGCCCAAGGAACAAGCTGGGGCACCTGGGAATCCCTCCAGAGTCAAGTCTCTTGCCAACCCTAAAGTAGCTCCCTTAATAAAGATATCTACTTCCCTGCTCCCACAACCACACTCCTCCATCCCAACCATCCCATTCCCTCAAGCTCTCCCCATCCTCCCCTTCTCCCTTCTCTTTCCCCCTCTCGACTTCCACCCACCCGACCCCCACCCCCATGCTCCCAACTTTTGCCCAGTGATCTTGCCTAGTTCCAGTTTTCAGGAGGATAAATATATGTTTCTCTTTGGGTTCACCTTCTTATTTAGCTTCTCTAGGATCATGAATTATAGGCTCAATTCCTTTATTTATGGCTAGAATCCACTGATGAGTGAGTACATGCCATATTCTTCTTTCTGGGTCTGGGTTATCTCACTCAGGATATTGTTTTCTATTTCCATCCATTTGCACGCAAAATTCAATATGTCATTGTTACTGCTGAGTAGAACTCTAATGTGTATATGTACCACACTTTCTTTATCCATTCTTCTATTGAGGGGCACCTAGGTTGTTTCCAGGTTCTGGCTATTACAAATAGTGCTGCTATGAACATAATTGAACAAATGCTTTTGTAGTATGGTTGGGCATCTCTTGGGTATATTCCCAAGTGGAATTGCTGGGTTCTGAGGTAGGTTGACTCCTAGTTTCCTGAGAAACCATCACACTGATTTCTAAAGTCGTTGTACAAATTTGCATTCCTACCAACAATGGATGAGTGTTCTCCTTACTCCACATCCTCTCTAGCATAGGCTATCATTGGTGTTTTTGATTTTAGCTATTCTGACAGGTGTAAGATGGTATCTCAAAGTTGTCTTGATTTGCATTTCCCTGATTGCTAAAGAGGTTGAGCATGACCTTAAGTGTCTTTTGGACATTTGAACTTGCTCTGTTGAGAATTCTCTGTTCAGTTCAGTGCCCCATTTTTTAATTGTGTTTAATTAGAATTTTAATGTCTAGTTTCTTGAGTTCTTTATATGTTTTGGAGATCAGACCTTTGTCTGATGTGGGGTTGGTAAAGATCTTCTCCCACTCAGTAGGATGACTTTTTGTCTTAATTCTTCAATAAATATCTAAGCACACAAAAAATATAAGCACTATGATCCTAAGCATCTGCTCATGAAGAAGCTGAGGTATTGGGATGCAAAAATTCAAACTCCCTGAACCTGTTCCCCTCCATATATAAATAAGATAGAATTGCTTATTTGAGATGGGTTGATAAATGTCTGTTGAAATTGAAATCCAAAATGAAAACTGTTTTCAATGGAGTCAGATAATATAGTTTATTTAATGGGATCACATAAAAGTATACATATACCTTAACATACAACAGAATTAGATTAAATTTAAACTAATTAATACCTAGATATCATGTAACTGTTAATTGTAGATGAAATGGGTGATGGATGACTAAATTATTGAGTTTATATTTACTTTGTTATATTATCACATTATAGAAATCAAAGTTAAAATCAATAATTATACAATAACTAAACATGAATGTCAAGAATGAGATGACCCAAGACACCCTTCATTTCCCCATTTCTCCAGTCATAAATAGCAGGGTTCACCATTTGAAGTATTAAAAGTGTATACTTACAACACCTTATTTTAAAATGATTAGTAAACAACTGAAGAGCTGCAGCCCACAATAAAACTGATCTCATCGAGCAAG